ATCTTTTTATGTGCTAATTGGTTATTTCATACCTTCTTTGGAGAAATGTCTATTCAAGTCCTTTGCTAATTTTTAATCAGGTTTTTTTTGTTGTTGATGTTGAGTTTTAGTTCTTTATATACTCTTGATAATCCCTTTATATACTCCTGATAATCCTTTATCAGATATAAGATTTGCAAATATATTCTCCTATTTTGTGGGTTACCTTTTTGCTTTGTTGTGCCCTTTGCTACACAAAAATGATTCCAATTTACCTATTTTTGTTGTTGCTGCCTGTGCTTTTTTTCTTCTGATGTCATACTTTCTTTTATAATGAAAATAGACAAGCTGTTTTTGACACTAATATGAAAATACAAATGATCTAGTATAACAAAAAAGCTTACTCTAGCCACTAACAATCAAGGTAATTGATACATTAGCTTAATGGAAGAGAATACAAAGTCTAGAAATAGACCCACATTTAAAAAATAAATTTATTTTTAAGCAATGGCACCAAAGCAACTTATTGGGGTAAGACAAGTATTTTTATCAAAGGGTGCTAGAAAACTGAAAAGCCAAATGGGATAATAAACAAAGCTTCCTTAACTCTACCTGAACCTATAAACAAAAACTAATTTCAGATGAATCACATATCTCAATATAGAAGTTAAAATTTATAAAGACTAAGAGAGATAGGAAGTCCTTGGATCTTCTGAGACATCTGATATGCTACTTTATCTTTGCCTTTTTATAAAATTAAATCTAACATAAAAATTAGGAAGATTTAATATCTTGCCAGTGATTCCTTAATGCAACTTTCTATAAAGTGTGTGAATCACAGGATGGGGCTCTTGTTCAGTGAACTGAACAACATAGAGCTATACAAGGATAAGGTGGTTATACTTTCAAAAGAGAAAAGCAAGGTTAGACATACACCATCCTATCCAATAAAAGAGTAATATGCAAATTGACCATTACTCCAAGACACAAGATTGCTTCCCCCATGTGGTCAAAGATGGATGCCCCCATGTGGATACAAGATGGCCGCCACAAGATGGCCTGCAGGGGAGGGCAGTTGTGGACAGTTAGGGGTGACCAGGCCAGCAGAGGAGGGCAGTTGAGGGAGACCAGTCCAGGAAGGGAGGGTAGTTAGGAGGAAACCCAGGCCTCTAAGGGGGGGCACTTGGACAGACCAAGCCACAAGGAGGACAGTTGGGGGAGACCAGACCTGGAGGGAGGCAGTGGTGGAGTACAAGGCCTGCAGGGGAGGGCAATTTGGGGGTAAGGTCTGCAGGGGAGGACAGTTGTGGGTAATCAGGCCACAGTGAGGGCAGTTAGGTGTGCCTGGGTCAGCAGAGGAGGGCAGTTTGGGGTGACAAAGCCAGCAGAGGAGGTCAGTTGTTGGAGACCAGGCCAGCAAGGAAAGGCAGTTGGTGGGGGGAAACCCAGACCTACATGGGAGGGCAGTTGGGGGAGACCAGGCCTGCAGGGAAAGGCAGTTGCGGGAAACCAGGCCTGCAGGAGAGGGCAGTTGTATGTGATTAGGCAAGCAGAAAGGGCAGTTAGGGGTGACCAGACCAGCAGGGGAGGACAGTTAGGGGCAATTGGGCCAGCAGGGGAGTAGTTAGGGGGTGATCAGAATGGCAGGCAGAAGTGGTTAGGGGCAATTAGGCAGAGGCAGGTGAGCAGTTGGGAGTCAGCAGTACAGTATTGTGAGAGGAATGTCCAACCAGTGGAATCAGGCCTAAATAGGCGGTCAGACATCCTTCAAGAGGTCCCAGATTGGAGAGGGTGCAGGCTGGGCTGAGAGACAACCACACCCCTCACCTCCCATGCACAAAATTTGTGCACTGGGCCTCTATTATATAATAGTAGCCAAACTTGAAGAAAGAGGTATATTACGCAGGCTGTCAGGGTAACATGAGGGGTACTTTACAAATAAGAAGAATTAGAAATCCAAGCTTTAGAAACAATCCTTTAAAATACAGTAATTGCACTATTCTAATCACTTACTAAGAATAAACTAAAGAAGACAAAACCCTGAAACCTATCCTTAAAATTGCTCATAAAGAATAGAACCAGAAGTTTATCCAAAAATGTCTTTATGTAGAAAATGTCTGGTTTTAATACATTTGAAATTTATTTCAAAACACAAATCATTTTAAAACTTATAATTCTTTATGTTTTAACTTTTACGTATCCAAATAATATATATTTGCACCATCACTTCACAAGCATATGGAATGCAAATTTTATTAACAGTCCCTAATGGAGCAGAATGTGATTTTTACCATGTACAATAAAGGGAAAACTGAAACACAGAAATTGCTAAATTACTTGCTATAAGAAGACCTGAGGAAAGCTAAAGAGGCAAAAAAATAAATAAATAAAATAACAGTTGGAACATACTATTACAACTGACTGATAAACTAAATGCAATTTCCCAGTAATAGTAAAAAATTATACATGTAAATTGATATATACATATATACAAAGAACCAAAAAAGCAAGGAAATAGTTAAGAAAAAATTTTTATATAGCCTGAATTACATAGAGAAGTGTGGTTTCAAAATCATAGCTGCTAAACAGCAGGTTCTAGTGAATCATATTTGCTTGTTCAAAGAAACTTGAGAAATAAATGTGGTGTATTCAATAAGAGATTATTAATTAAATTATGACACAAGAAGTTTAATTTTATGAGAACCTAATAGACATACATAAAATAATATAATGTAATCCTAACCAAGCGCTGAAATATATCCTTAGAGAAAATAAAGTTTTAAAATTAAATGTTACAAAAAAAATTAAATGTTACAAAAAATGTAATATTAAGATGCAACTTAATCATAAATGTGTGTACTTTTTAGGGAATTTGTAAACAATGATGGTGCCAATTACAAAAGAGATGTTAAGGGAAATGGCAGATATTAGCTCATAAATTACCTTTTTAAACATATTAAATTCTACATGAATTGTAATTCTTCTTGAACTCAAGAGCAAATAGTGCTTAAACTCAATGTGTATTTTTTAATTTTCATTTTAGGGAGCAACCACATTATAACCATAAAACATTTTATGGCATTGCTTTATATCCAATTTATTTTGTTCTCAGATACATTAATATATAATATTTATAAAACTTTTTAAATCCTCTTCATTATCTCTTTAAATCCTTTGAAGAAAATCTGTAATGTTATCTTCCAACAAGGTAAAACAATGGAAGAAGGCTTGGATACCAGTCATTTCTTTAGTAACAAAAATATCTTTACTTTCTAAGAAGTCTTTCACAAAATCCCAGACACTGGCATGCTATAATAATGCAATTAGGAACAAAAACTTTATAACAGAAACTAATTAAATAAGTGAGATGAAAGACTAATATTACTCAAAAATATTATCAAAAATACAAGAAAAATGGTATCTATCTTTTTAATACAGCTAAATATGTGTTAAAGAGTTCTTGCTGAAAAGTAGTTTTTAAAATAAAAGTTGTATTTATTTCCTGGATTATTTTTTTCAAATACATGATCAAATAAATAAATAAAAAGCTGGTAAAAATATATAGGATTTTTAGTAAAAAGGCCTGAACCTACTAGTTAAAAATAAATAAGTACGAAAATAGATATTTCCTATAGGTTCAATTAATTAAAAAGGAGATAATCAGCTCTCTGTTTTAAATGATTGTTTCAAATTGATCATTCACAACAATGCCATCCTCAACCCCAAGGAACTTTCCCTTATAGTGAATTTTGTCTACTATATAAGATTGTTTTTATGGGGTTTGTTTTCCCCTTTTGTTTATTCACTTTTGTTGTTTCATTGTTTCATGCACTCCATTATGTTATGCTTTGCTTGGAATTATTATTTAATAAATTAGAAAATTGCATTGTGGTCAGAATTATTCGGTATCTTCTATCATCAGAACTACCTTTCCCTAAATTTAAATGAGTTTAACCTCAAGGAGAACTCCCATGACATTCAAGAAACACTGGCCACATGTTACATACTTTCTTGAGTTTGTTGAAGCACTTTGTATTTTTTCACTATAATCTTAATTTTCCCCTTATCTTCTTCAATGATAGTATAAAAAACTCATAAATTCAAACGTTCTCGCCTTTTTATGAGGAATTAAAACAAATAGAAATTATAATTTTAATGACAAATAAATGATATCATTTTGGAAGCAAATATTTAAAATCATCTAATAGTACTAATACATGTTTTATCAATTTACTGCTTTTGAAACTTTTAATGTCTGGGCCCTCATGTAATTTAATAGATTTTTCAAGAAATCAAAAAGGCTTCCCTTGACATACTAAAAGATTATTTATGTCACTGTCCTCTGAAAAGGTGATAACTCTTTTAAATGAGGTTTCCTTAGTTCGCCCACCTATTCCTCCATCTCACCCAAGGCTTTGAGCAATCTTCATCTCAGAAAAAGAGGCAAATGGCTAAATTTAGGAGTGTCTGGACCATCAGGAATAGCAATATCAGCTGAGATTCCTAATTAGCATTATGTCTACTAAAAAAAAAAAAGGTAGCAAAACAAAACAAACAACAAAACAAAACAAAAAAACAAAGTAAAATCTATCTAAGCCATCTTTTCACCTTTCTTTATTTCACAAGAGAGAAGCATTCAACACATTTGTTTTCATAAACAGTAAAGAACTACTGATGGAGATCTTATCAATAAAAAGTATCTCTACCTTCTCGCTATTACTAATAAACTTTAGGTTCTATAACATGCTAAGAGAACTTAGTAATTTCAGTACTGAATGAGAAAACAATCTTAGTACAAAGTGTTTCTGTGGCCTTTATAAGCAGAGTATTGTCAACTTCTCTTGTATTCAAAATTCAGATTATCGCTCCTAATTACATCTAACTCCAATGTGTGGCAGGTTTAATAAAAGGTTTTATAAAAGGTCCTGCACTGTGCTTTTCCCCCCATTCTATCTATGATGAGAAAATGATGAAAATGCAATCTTTAATCCCTTAAGACAAAGACTCAGAATCCAACTTACCTGACAAGATTTTCATTGTCTCCAGTTCCCTTGCAAGTTGCACATTCAGTTCGTAAATCTTCAGCCTTGGGCTTCTTCTGTAACACAGACTGCCTCTGTCTTCTCTCCCTAGGAACTCTTTCCTGCCATCCCAGGAGAATAATACAAAACATAAAACAAAATCAGGCTATGAGGAAAACAAATAATTTTTAGCAAAAAAGTTTTTCCCAGTTTAGACTATATAAAAAATGCTTAACTTAATCCAACCTCATGTTTTTCTTCATCAGGTATGAAGCTTCGTTTCCGTCCTCTGGTTCTCTAAAGAAAAAAAAGAAATCCATAAAAATATCTAATGTTTAATTAATGATAAAAACATTTTTCTCTGTTAAATGTTACTGCTTAGGTTAAGTACTTAGAAAATTAGTATTTCTAAATAATGCTGTGTAGCTCTATTGTACTGTTTATGTCTCAGGGGGAAAAAAACATGAAAAATTAAACACTTAAATAACACAGGTATCTGAGAGGAAGTTATCCAAAATTAGTCTGAATATTTTTTAAATAATTCATATAGAATTATGATTTATGCAGAAAATTTAAATTTTCATAACTTAGACGACTTTTACAGCTGAAATGCTAAACCTAGACTCATACTACATCAACAGTATGACCATGCATGTGGGTATGCATGCATGTTTATGCAACATACATAATCTATTTTTAAAACATATATATTTCTCTATTGATTTCAGAGAGGAAGGGAGAGAGACAGAACATCAATGATGACCAAGTATCATTGATTGGCTGCCTCCTGCACACCCCATACTAGGTATTGAGCCCACAACCCAGGCATGTGACCTTGTTGGTAATCGAACCTGGGACTCTTCAGTCCGTAGGCCGACACTATATTCACTGAGCCAAACCGGCTAGGGCAGTGGTTGGCAAACTCTTTAGGCAACAGAGCCAATTATCAACAGTAAAACAATTGAAATTTATTTTGAGAGCCAAATTTGTTAAACTTAAACAATATTATTCTAACGCCACTTCTTCAAAACAGACTCGCCCAGGCCATGTATTTTGTGGAAGATCCACACTCAAGAGGTCAAAGAACCGTATGTGGCTTGCGAGCCGCAGTTTGTGGACCACAGGGCTCGGGCAGTGGTCAGTAAAATGTGGCTTGCAAGCCTCAGTTTGCCACTCTGTTAACTAATGTCTGTCTCTGTCTCTGTCTCTGTCTCTGTCTCTCTCTCTCTCTCTGAACCAGGAGGAGGTCATGGTTCAATTCCCAGTCAGGGCACATGCCCAGGTTACAGGCTCAATCCCCAGTGTGGGGCATACAGGAGGCAGCAAGAATGATTCTCTATCATCACTGATGTTTCTATCTCTCCTTCTCCATCTCCCTCTCTCTGAAATCAATAAAAATATATTTTAATAAATAAACTATGATGCAGCCAGATAAAATAGAAGGAATGACTCACTATCTTAATTTATATATATGCTTATTCATATATATATATATATATATATATATATATATATATATATATGCTTATTCTTGAGCAAAATTTCAAATTCAATGTTAATTAGGACAAGTAACTCAAACCTTGAAAAACTAGATAAAGCCAAATATCTTCATATTTATACTAAGGACTAAATGCCAGTAGCTATCTAGCAGCTGTTCAAAATGCTTCTATATAAATTATATATGTGTGTGTGTGTATATGAATATACACATATATATAAAGTTTACATATATATTCTTAAAAACAAGTATGTTTTCCAATTATGGAACAATATATTGAAAACAATCACACAATGTATAAAACTCATGAAATAAGCAATAGAAAAATGTTAGTTACATATATAAATCAGATTGAACAAAGTACCATCTGTCTCTGTTGGCTGCTGGCATCCAACAGATGGAGTAGTGAGCACTGTAAGGGAGTGTTTTCCCTTCTTATCCATTGGCTGTAGGGTTTATTTTTATCTAATCTGATTTATATTAACAGGGTTAGGAAAATACATGGAAGAAGCAAAAGAAAATCATGACCAGTTGGGTTAACATTTTAAATTAAAACAAGTGTAAACCTAAAAATATAAACTAAAATATACATTTTATATAATAGGTAGTCCTGTAAAAACCCTTCTCACAGATAATGATATATTCAAAATAAATAAAATCCTAAAGCTTTGCTATCCTTTATTCTCTTTATTCCATACTCCTGGAGATAAAAAAAAAATTATGGATTTCCAAGAGGCAAAAAACACAGTTGAAGCCTTTGGGTTCCAAATAAGATTCCGTAATACCCACAATGAATCTCTTCCAAGTGAGCCAAAGTGAGTTAAGTATGGTCCAGTTCCACCACAAAAATTTTGCCAGGATTTCTTCTAAGAATGAAAGACAGAGGTTATATAATCTGTTTAGTGACTCAATAGTCACTTTGAGTCTCACAATAGACTCAATAATAACTGATATGTAAAGCCTCCAAATAAAACTTTCCTCATAGAACTATAATAATTTAATTAAAACAGTATAAAATAATAAGTAAATTAAGAAAAGGACACAAGACATAGTAACCTTTAGTCATTTCAGTAGGGATGAATCCATAAAAATTGTATGTATAATTAAGTAAAAATTAAATTTAAAAAATATATAATAAACATATTCCAGATTTTCAAATTCTTAGGACTTAAGCTCTAACCTTATTAAATAAGATGCCACTGTGAATCTGTAAAACTAACTTAGCAACAAATGTAGTAAGAGTAGACTCTACAAGTTTAGATTCTCAAGTGAAGACTGCTATTTGGAACAGGCTATTGACTTATACTGTTAAGTAAGATGGAAAATAAATTAACCAAGTGTTCAAGTCTATCTCCAAAATAAGGATCTATAAGAAAGGGTACGTCTTGGAAAACAACATGGTTTCAGTCAAAACTGCTAAAAAGTTTTTTGACTTTTTATTGTATTTATTTTCCAAAAAAGGACACATATAAAACAAGAGACAAAATATATGAGACAGGAAGAAAGATCTGACAACTTCAAAGATAGCAGAAGATGATGCATGTGTGTAAAAGACTATGGAAAGATAGGTCCCAATAAGTCCTTTGGCACTTGTATAAAAGATGAAAAGTTACCACATGACACAGAATGCAAAGAAAATGAAAAGAGACCTGAACGCTTTCAAGTTACATTAAAGTTGTTAGAAAATATGCCCAAAAGTACAAACATCAATTTTAAAGTAACTTCAAAGGGGACATGTGTAAGCTAATTTGTATTTTCTTCAAAAGTAATTTACTTGCCTAAAAGCAAGTGAAAGGCTTCCAAATAAAAAATACAGAGAAAATGTCTAAATAATGGGTATTTAATCAGAAGTATCCCAGACTGCCTTTTCAGTAATTCGCTAGTTTTACCAATGAAATATGATTAACATACAAGAAGAAAGGGACCAATTTCCTCCTAACAATAAAGGGCTAGAAAAAAAGTCTTCCATAGTACAGTGGCTTCAAACGCATAGCCAAGGTGGAAGATGGAAGAATTTATTTGTGAAATACTAAGTATCTGCTGTGAAGCAAACCTTGTGATAGTTCATGGATACAGAGTGGTAAACAGGACAGCTCCTGTCCATGGAGTTTCAGATCTATGAGTCTAACAGATACCAAACAAATAGTTACATGTATAATTACTTATAAATATCATAAACACAACTAAGGTGAAATGAAATCATACTGCTCAGATCTTTCAAAATCACAACTACAGTAAAAATTGTTCTAAAATTTAAGAATCAAATTTTAATACACTTTAAATTTTAATCAAATATAAAACTCTACATTCATCTTAAAGATGGATATAGAAAATATGCCTAATAAAATACATCTCAAAGGAACACATTTCAGTGTCCTCAAGCAGGAATGAAAAAAGAATGAGTTTGGGTGAGCAAGAATACAAAAGAATCAAGGATGGTAGCAAAAGCATTATTAAAATGACTATACAGAGGACTATATAAGATACTAGAATTTTAAGTGATAGCAGGAGGTACCAGAGTAAACAGGTGGCTGAGTAACTAAGAGAACAAAGATGGCTATTGGACTAGAAATGTAAAGAACCCACAACATCCTGAGCTCAAAGGAATCTTGATTTCTACCAAGGTTATTTCACGTACACCTTAAAATTAAAATTTTAAAAATTATTTCATCTAATCTTCTCTTCCCAATGCAGAAAATCCTTCAAAAAATATCCCTTATAGTCATATTGTTTTAACTATTTCAAGGAACAGGCAGCATGTTCCACTATAAGATAGTTTGGGCTCCTAATTGTTGGGCCCAGTTTTACTGTCTGAATTTATCCTAGCATTCATGTAATAAAGATGGGCTGCCTCCTGCATGCTCCCTACTGGGCATCGAGCCTAAAATCTAGGCCTGTGCCCTAACTGGGAATCTAACCAGCAACCCCTTGGTGTAGGGGAGGATATCCAGCCAAGTGAGCCACACAAACCAAGGCTAAATTATTAAGATTTAATCCCAATAACATCTTCAAATTTTTGCCATGATAGTAATGTGAGAGGCTGATGCCATTAAAATGCCTATCATAAAAACATTGTAAGAAAGATGGCTACAGATTCAGAATTTTTACACTAAATTTTATGCTCAAGTTTCCAATGCTTTTATAGGTGTCTGGCTTGCTATAACTTTAAAAATTTTAGCTTACTAATACCCAGGCTTTAGGCAATGATAACCTTCAACTAGTAGTATTTGTGTTTCACCTCAATCTTCTGTCTTTTTGCTTCTATTTCAGTACTATCATGTTACCCATTAAGGAATTTAACTATATCTCTCATATGGACACTGTATATTTACAGTCAACTTCCTATCAACTTTCTATTTTCTAGAAGGTGTGGAGCATGTCTTCATTTTGGTATTCTATACATCATCTGTTGTATCGTGCCTTACATTATTATAGTTCCTCAGCAGAAATATATTGAAAAAAATTAACTTGATCATGTTACAAGAGTAGGACAAGCAGTCACAAGCAAAGATTACAGAGTCTATATAATGATCTGTATTCTCAAGCATCCAATTTTTATTACTTAACATAAAGAACTATTATTCAACTCAGAAATAAATATGACCAAAGCACCCAGACAAAAGGTAATTGCCTACAATTTTGACAATTGTGAAGAAAACATAATATAAATCCATGTTTCTTTCTATTATAAACAAAAGTTCACCTTCAAGTACTGTCTTCCCTTTACTGGACTCTGAAGACTTTACCAAGAGGACAAAATACACTAACGATCAAATAATAAAGCTAAGAATTATGCTGC